AAAAAAAAGTCCCCATTTGGCTTTGTGTACTGGCAACCTCTAAAAAATAAAGCACTGTCTCCCAGCATTAGTGGAACTCATCTATTAGCATGACATTTTGACATTAATAGATAAAACAAAATACTCTGAACCCTTTGTCTTTATTGATTTCTGTAAATCTCAGTAATCTATATAACTAGTCACAATTACTAATATGATATCATGCAAAGAGCAATAAGCAAGATGTTAGCTGTTTGACCTTGATTATCCAGAGTTGGTATTATGTCTTCAGTGATTCCTACTTCTCATAAACCACTAACCCACCCCTATACAGACACCTTTATGTCTCCCACTCTATGTGCCTAACTCAGTGCCATGCACATCTTTGGTTCTCATTTAATATTTGCTCAACTGAGCCGAACAACTAAATGAGTTGATAGCATCATAATTTGGGATTGAACTAAAATTGTCCAGGGAAACATTTTGAATATGAAATATGTTTTTTCCTGGCAGAGCCTAAGGAGAACTGGCTTCAGAATTGTCACGATTTCTTTTACCTTTTGTGCATTTTTGATCAGGGATAATCTTTAAGTTGAGATCTGGTCACAGGGGAGCCTTTATGTCCAAAATGACATCTGAAAAAGAAACATCTTCAGAGGCTAAGGCATGGCTGAAAGTCTGCCAAGCTGAGAAAAAATAATCAGGATGAAAATCGGAAAATTTGCACTCTAAGATGCCATTTTCCCAAAGTGCAGACACTTACAGTGTCAAGTGTTTACCGTCTTCTTCCTGGTGAGATTTTAGATCAGTCATCTAATCTCGTATTTCAGCTAAGTGAAGTCGGGCCACATTCCTGTATGCCAACATGTACCTTTAAAACGAAAGACAAATGTCACACCCTAAAAAACCCTTCTCTCTCTTCCTGCATGTTTCTCTCCCGTGCCCCTCACCCATGCACCAGCAGACCTCAGCCTGTGGATTTCCTCAACTCAATACACTAGATGCCTCTTTTATTGCATGTTGTGGCAGGAGAGAAGGATTAAATTACGGGGGCTGTCAGGAAGGACAAGCACTCTGCCATACATTATCATTATCACTTGCTTCTTGGGTGAAAGAAAATGCAGTAAATCCCTCAAATACAAAGCAATAAAGACCGTTGGCTTTTACTGTCATGACTGCCAGTGCCATTAACAGGCAGTGACAGTGATGTGGCACTCTTAGATGTTGCTTGTATCTTTTCTGACAGTGTGCACATAAACCTGCCAGTGACATGACATTAGATCACATGACTATTCAGATTTGATTCTGGTTTCTGGAGCTGTTTTCTTTTCCCAGACATACAAGTGAGGTGGCATGACTTGCGTCTTTAAAAACAGGTATTTATAAAAATACAGAATGGTACTAATGTAGCATATTCCTGAGTGACTTCCTTTTGTGGAATTTTTTCTCTTTTGGTATAGTGATCTACGTGGATAAAGAAAACAACCAAGCAAAGAGAGATATCTTAAAAGCTATACTACAAAAACAAGAGATGCCTAACAGAAGGTACTTCTAAGCATTCCAAATTATGTACTGGTTTATATAAAGTAGATCTCTGTAGCTTTGTGTGGTCAAAAACAAAGGCACAAGATGAGGAATCAGAACACCTGGGTTCTCTGACTCACTCTGTCCTTGAATGAGTACATGACCTCTCTGGGTCTCTTTCCTTCTAGAAATATAGTGGCCCTGCCTACCTTACAGAGTAACTGTAAGAATCCTATAGGATGTTGAAAACTAAAAGGCTGTGCAGTGTATATAAAGTATCATATTGCCATTCATGTGTAACTGTAAAGAGCATAGCAGGTTGAACGGCAGGTGCACTTGGGAATCACAAGGCCTGCATATAAATTCTCGTTCCATCGCTTACTAGTTGTCTGACCTCAGACAAGTTACTTAGCCTCCCTATGCCTCATTTTCTTCATCTGCAAAATGGAAATAATAATAATATCATATAGGGTTGTTGTGAGGATTAAATGAGATAACAAAGTAACACAGATCAAATAGTACCCAACACATAGTGCACAATGACTGTTCATTGCAATCATTGTAAGTAGTAGTAAGATTAATATTATTATTTGTAATAGCTCATCAGCCTTTCAGACTAACTAGTATCTTACTGTCCCTGTTTAATAATTCATCATTTCATATTTTAATGCATTTTATTCAAATTTGAATAGGATAATTTGCAATTCTGGTTCAGTAGAGAAAATATATCCTTTTCAGAAGAAAAAGAAAAACCTGATCTTAATAAGTGAGTGCTTCTGTGAGCTTCTGTCCCAGGAGTTGGAGGAGGTATAATATCTAAGTGCCGCTAGTTAATCCCTTAGCTGGGTTTCGCCAATGCCTCTTTGCTGGCTCTCCTCCCTTGGCCTGGGTAGACCCCTTATATATATGTTGTCTTCTTCTCTTGCCTTTATGACTCATGGATGATACAGCCTCTCACTGCCTCAGAAACAGTGCCTACCCTGCCACCCAGTGAGACACAAGTTCTCTCCTTTCCAAGAGGCCATAAAGTGAATGCTAAAGACATTTTCAAAAAAGCTTCCAAACTAGCATTTTATCTTCTATTTCAAGAAGAGAGACTGGAATTCTTAGCTCTTGGTATCTGATAATAGTTTTTTCATTAGCTCCTGAAATACATCATTTCTTTGGATCCTATTTTTACTTCCGAAGAAGGGATGGTAAAAACCTGTTAGGCATGAGGTTCTACTTTTCCAAGGATGATAATCACTCAGGTTTTACTTATTTACTTTGTATACTTCAGCTTTTTTCAAAGATCCCTTTAAAACCACCAATCCCCCCGGGCTATCCCAGATCACTAGTGAATAAACAGCACTGGCCATGGCATCTGTGTCCTTACAGTCACCACACTGGGTCCTGACTGGCCAGGACTGAGTTGTGTTCCCATGGGCAAGTCCTGGGCTGAGACTCAGTAGTCTATCCAGTCTTGTTCGTCTGCCTCTATGTTCTTTTTATTTGTGGAACGTTAGAACATATTGTGACACATTGGGAGAGAACCATTTTGTTTCCTCAAAAGTGTTTTTAAAAAAAATAAAAAGGACCAGTCACAGCTAATCCTAGCACTTTGGAAGGCCAATGAGGGGAGGATTGCTTGAGGCCAGGAGTCCAAGACCAGCCTGGGTAACATAGGGAGACACTGCCTCTACAAAAAATGGAAAAAACTAGCCAGGTGTGGTGGCATGCACCTGTAGTCTCAGCTACTCAGGAGGCTGAGGCAGGAGGATCACTTGAGCCCAGGAGTTTGAATTTGCAGTGAGGTATGATGACATCACTGTATTCTAACTCAGGCAACAGAGCAAGACTCTGTCTCAAAAAAAAAAACAAAAAAAAAAATTAAAAGGCAAATTCTACTTTCATGTTAGACCTGCCTTTCCTCAGAGGACCCACTTATTTGTACCAGAATAGTTTTAAAAAGAAGAAAAAGGAAAAGTCCACGGTAACTATAATGACTTCCACTCTCTCATCGTTTCTCTAAAAATCTCCAAACACCTCCCAGAGACACAATGTCATGTCATTTTTTGAGAAAAACTGAATGAGGTATTGCAAAGTGATTAACTCAGAGCTTCCAACCATCGAGTGAGTGCTTGGGCGTCACTGTGCTCCCCGACCAGCCTGGGAGAGGATGGCCCCACTGACTTTTCTCCCTCAACAGTGTCATTTTACTAAGGGAAAAAGGAAGTTTACATTTACATTTCCCACAGCCAAAAGCCAACTTTTGTTCCATCACATGTTCTCACCTTTTTTAAATACTAAGAGGTCACTTTACTTCACATTACTCAAAGTAGCTCCTATTATAGCTGATGAAAATTCATTTTCTTAGCCAGCAGCCCTGTTGAATATTAGTGACAACTTAAAAAGCCACAGTTAGAGAAGTTTGACCAATCTTCCCTGACGTGTCTAAAATTACGGACATTGTATATTGAGTTGTATATAGTACCTTTGCTTGCCACCCCACACTGTATTTGCAAGTATACAAGTGTCACTTTAAAAGGAAAATAACACATTGAAATGGGACGTTAGATATTATTTATTCGAAGTCATAGTTTAACACTGACTTAAGTTTCCTTTTTGGTTTTATATTTTTTCTCTTTAGCAGTGTTGTATTGAGCACTTGGGAAAGATAGACTATAATAAGGAAACAAACTACCTATTTCAATAAGTACTAAGAGAACATTAACAAGTTAAATATCAAAATAGAAAATAACAGTGAAGGCACATCTGGGGAGGTGATATTCAAGCAGGTGGTTCATGAAGGATGAGAGAACCCAATCAAGTCACAGAGAGCCCAGAGAAGATCATTCCAGGCAGAGGGAATTCCAGGCATGAGGAATATATAGAGGTGTGTTCTAGGACCAGACAGGGGAGGGGTAGCAAGGCCGGTCTCACTGAGAAGTGGAGAGTCACTGAAGAGAGGAGAATGGGAGGTGGGAGCAGCCTCCGTAGCACTTCCTGTTTTTACCTCCACCTGGGTACATGGCACCTGCCCAAGTGTCTATCCAGGGCAGCAAGCTACACTGTGAGCCTTTTCAAGACAAGGGACAATGTTTCACCTCTTTGTTTTGACAGGGTTAAAGGTTAAACCTGTAAGATTTGTGTTTGTATGTACAATTTGGCTTACGCCAAACTGATTTATTATTATTTGTTAATTATTTTAGTTTTGGTTTTTAAATAATTTTAGTGTACTTTTCCTCCCTTTTCAGCTTACCTTTATAGTTTTCTTTTTTTTCTTTTTTTTTTTTTTTTTTTTTTGAGACAGAGGTTCACTCTGTTACCCTGGCTAGAGCACAGTGGCGTCCTCATAGCTCACTGCACCCAAGTGACCCTTCTGCCTCAGCCTCCTGAGTAGCTGGGACTACAGGCGCACACCACCACATCTGGCTTATTTTTTTCTGTTTTTAGTAGAGACAGGGTCTCACTCTTGCTCAGACTGGTCTCAAACTCCTGAGCTCAAACAATCCTCCCGCCTCGGCCTCCCAGAGTGCTAGGATTATGGGTGTGAGCCACCGCGCCCAGCCTGTAGTTTCTTAATTTTGTTTTTGACACGTCATTTTGCTCTCTATAGATTAAAGCCAGAAATACTGCACTTTTTAATTTCTAGCCTTTTTTCTGGCATTTGGAAGGTTTTTTTTTTCTTTTTGCCTCAGAATTCTCATATATTCAGTGGAGGTAATTGTCCACATTTGTAAAGTGATATGGATATGATCCTTAGATACAGACAGTGTGTGAAGATAACACTTAACATTATTATTACAATCTGTATAGCCACTATCTTTTCTGTAAGTCTTATGTTGTAAAACATGTATTACGTATCACTTTTAATTCTGCCTCTTTCAAGTACTTTTAATTCCTCATCTTTCCTAATACATTTTAGGAAAATTTCTTTCATCATCATTTATTTTATTTAATTGAATGATCAATGTATAATTCGGGAATCTAAGCTTTCAATTGAAATAAGCTTTTCCCATGCCAGCTTTTTCTCTCCCCTTAAAAATGTAGAAGTGCCAGGCGTGGTGGTTTACACCTATAGTCCCAGCATTTTGGAAAGTTGAAGTGGAAGCATTGCTCAAGGCCAGAAGTTCGAGACCAGTCTGGGCAATATAGGGAGACCTCATCTTTACAGAAAAAAATTTTTTTTAAATTAGCTGGGTGTGATGGCGTGTGCCTGTAGTCCTAGCTACTCAGGAGGCTGAGGTGGGAGGATCACTTGAGCCCAGGAGTTGGGAGTTACAGTGAGCTATAACTGTGCCATTGCACTCCAAGCTGAGTAACAGAACAGGACCCTGTCTCAAAAAGAAAAAAAAAAATAGAAGTGTAAACAGCCCTACCAATATTAAAAATAAAAGGGCAAACATTTACTCAGCGCTTACTATGTTCCAGGTACTATTGACTGGTATCATCTCATTTGATCCTCACAAGAGCCCTGTGAGATACATATAATTATCCCCGCTTCTACAGATAAGGAAACTGAGATAAGAGAGATTAAGTAATTTGTCCAAGGTCACACAGCTAATAAGTAGGAAAGCAAGAATTCGAACCCAGAATGGATGCCCTGAACCACGTCATCTTAATTCCTCTAAGTATAATCTTTATATATCCATCATACCCATCATTGATTTTGACTTAAGGAATTTCTAATTTCTTTTTTTTTTTTTTCTTTTTCTTCTTTTTTTTTTTCACAGCCACAGAAGCTGTGAAGAATTTCTAATTAAAATTTATTGCTAGCTAAAAACAGGGACTTCATAAAGGAATAACATATTGAATACTTACTTTCTACAAGTTAGTTAAAAATATTATGTTTACCGATAAACATTTGGAAAGTATTTATATTTTTCAAGGCATGATTTCTCAGAGACTTAAATTTTTATGTTTCTTGTTTTGTTTCTGATCTGGGATGGATACATTTTGAAAAGTTTAAAATGGTAAAATTTACAAGCATCCATGGTTTAAGCTAAACTGCCAAGATATATCAAAAGAGTACTTAACTGTAAATTCCTGTCATTTGGTCAATCCAAGTGTGTTTGGCCTCCACACAAGCCACTAATTCAAATCAGTTCCATCAGAACCCTACAATTATGTGTCTAAAAGTAAAATAAAACTTGGATGCTGTGATTGTAAGTTAAAAGATTGCTGAAGTAATACAAACATTTGATATAGCTGTTAGGCAGAGCTACAACATTTATCTAACATGACTCAGAATGTTACCCAAGGAGCATGATCTCTGCATTTTGTAGAATACATACAGTTGGTTAAATTGCTTAGTAGCAACTCCAAACTTGTGCATTTGTATAGAAAATGTTGACCATTTGTCCTCCATGATCTTTATTTGCTTTATCCTTTTTGCCTTAAAAATAGAGGTGTCAAAATATGATCAGATAATGTGTAATAGAGTGAACATGTGGTCCTTCTCTTTGCCTGGTAATTTTCTCAGATTCTAGAAATAAATGTTAATCAGTGCTTAGAAAGTAGATTAATGTTCATTTGAAGGTTGGGTGTGCTATAACAATTCTAATAGTTCATGTAATAACTTATCTCACCTAATGTAACTTTCTTTTTATTGGGATAATTGGAAACTTCAAGATTTCATACTTAGTGATAAAAACCCATTGGGGAGTTTTGTTTCATGGTAATTTCTTCTGACTTGGTGGTGATTTTCTCTATGCTTTTGCCTTCTCAGTGTTCGCTTCACCGTGGTCAGTGACCCTCCAGAGGATGAGCAGGATCTGGAGTGCGAGGACATCGGTGTTGCTCATGTTGACCTCGCTGACATGTTTCAGGAAGGGAGAGACATCATTGAGCAAAATATCGATGGTATGGGTGAAAGTGTTGCTTAATTTATACAACAAGCAATTGTGAAATCCAAACTCTTTATTAAAACCTTTTTGTTGGCCGCAAGGGCATTGAGTCACACATTAGTTGAACCCTTTGCAACTCGAGCTGACGCCTTGTTGAAGCTGGAAGCCTCTCCCTACGTCCTTACCCTGCCCACCCCCTCTGCCTTCCTTTGAATCAACAGATATTTTAAAATAATTAATTGAGCCTCATAAAGGAATTATTCATTTTTTAGTATTGGATGGATATGTGAAAAATCTGGCTATTGAATTTTTTGATGTTGTTTATGGAAGCTTCGTTTCAGCTAAGACACTTTAAGCATGTTATTCTGTCAATGTTTATAGAAGCCTTATGTCAGCTAAGGCACTAACCTTAAGCAGGTTATTCTGAGTGATTATGATAATCTTTCGCAAGGCTTCTCTTTAATTCAGTGTTACAGTCTAGTGATATAGTCAGAGCAAGTAACTTTGAATAGTTTTGGTCACTCATTTACCACAGGATTCCAAGAAGAATAAGGTATTCCTGACAAAATGTGTTCTCCTGAATTTTTACCTCACTAGGTGGTTCCCAACAATGTGAAGAAATGGTATTTTATGAATCAGGCTTTTTAAAATCATAATCAGGGATGGCCGGGGCTTTCTATAGTAAATGGGGAAATGAGGCTGATTCTTAGTCTCATTGGTTGAGTTAGCAGAGCCATCTCTGGAAAAATGTATGTGGCTTGTTTACTTATTCATGCATGCATTCAACAGACACTTAACTGAGTACCTCTTAAGTGCCAGACATCGTGCTTACGCCAGTGGTCCCTAACCTTTTTTGGCACCAGGGACCATTTTCGCCTAAGACAATTTTTCCACAGACCAGGGAAGGGGGATGGTTTCAGGATGATTCAAGTACATTACATTTATTGTGCCCTTTATTTCTATTATTATTACATTGTAATATATAATGAAATAATTATACAACTCACCATAGGTTGGGGACCCCAGGCGTATGCTATGCTTCAGTCATGGTTCATACATCAAGCTGCTTATCCTGGATAATGGATCAAAGTGCTCAAAATTCAGGATCAAGCCAAATAATTAACCAATTAGACCAAATAACCAAATTAAAAGCCTGTTCTGGGAAATCTTTTTTCCAGTTGGCACTGTTTAGCAACCCATCTTCTACAATGCCACAGATGACCACACTGATCAGGCAGGGACAGCTGTTGTGGCCATGTTTTAGGAAAGAACCAAAAGATTAGGCATGAGTTAAGTAAGGATTTTAAGGATTTGTTGTGTATCCGGCATGGAAGTGCAAAGTCCCAAAGCAGGGGTGGAAACTCAGGGGAATGAGCTGGAGACAACTTGTGCCACTTCTATTTCCCTGCTGCTCATTTCTTCCCCTAAGTCTTTGTGCACCGAGTTTTGTTTGCAGGTTTTCTTACAAATTTTCTTGGAATTAAACACACACAAAACATACATACATACATACACACACACACACATATTAAAGTTCAAGGAAAATCACAAGGAATATAAACAGGAAACTATAGAAAACTCCCAAGTGCTGTCAAACTTACAAAGTCTAGGATTCTAACCTTGAGTCACTATCTAGTATCATTGTCCACAAAGGCATGGGGACTCAGATACTGAATGGGCATCCCATCTGGCCCCTGCCACTGAGCTGGCAGGGCCCATGGCTTTTGTCAAACAGTCTACCTTTGCGACTACTAAAAACAGTAGCCTTTCTTCCAAGAAAAGCCCACCTACACTCAAATCCACAGACCTTAAGATTCCTAGGTCTGCCATTTTAACTTTTTCTAATTTCACATGAAACCTATTTTAAATGGAATATTTTCCTTATTCCATATAAATTTTTTCTTTATTTAGATAAGCAACTAATCCAAATGATGATCGTATAACATCTTTACAGTGGTTTGCCATTCTGAAATTTGTTATTAATACTGTATGTTAGAGCAAATTCTACTTTATTGTCCTAAACCCCTTTTAGACTTTTTACTTCTTACTAGCTTAGAAATTCTGATTATGTGTGAGAGTCATTATCCTATAGCCTTTCACTACGTAAACTTCAGGATGAGAGCATTAATTTTAGGTCCACAAGCAACAGGTATATATACATGCAGTACATCTAAAATGTGCATCTTCATGCATACATGACAGGGTTTATTTTTTAGATGTCTTGAGATGCCAGTGAACTTTGGACTTTTGTAGAACCGTTTTCATCTTTTCAACTACTGTTTCTGTCTGCGAGCCTGTCTGAAGAAAACTCTATTGAATAATATTAACATGTTCCTGCTATTTTCTCCCTAGTTTTTGATGCACGAGCAGATGGTGAAGGTATTGGCAAGCTCAGGGTAACAGTCGAAGCTCTCCATGCCCTACGGTCTGTCTACGAGCAATACAGAGATGACTTGGAGGCTTGAAAGAAACTGCTGCAGAGGCATCTCCTACTCCTGAGTAAATGTTCACATGAAAGATCCTAGATGAGATTTTTATAATTACTCTGGTATATATAATCTATAATTCATAGGACGCTGGGAAGGGGGAGACCTGGGTTTGAAGTGTTTGAGTTTTATATACTTTTTCATTTGTTTATTTTTCTATTCCCTCCTTCCCATGACTGCCACCCCTCAGGACTTAAGTTCTCCATAATGGGCAATACCTTTTCAATAATTTATACCTACATGATAGCATGAGAAAGTCTATTTGCATTTTGAACATTTTCTTATGAAGAACTGAAATGCAATTCCCGTTTTTATTTTTAATAAGCAAAAGCATAAATCTTAGAAAACCTATGAAAAAGAAATACTTTTATGTTATTCCTAATCGTCCCACTAAATGGAATGCCTATGATTAGCCTCATTAAGAGTTTTATACTGTGAAGATTTTATTAGAAGCAATATATGAAAATTACTTGGATTAATGTGTTAATCTTCCTCTTTAAAATGCTAATATCCATTTTATGCACATTAAAGCTCACTATGCATTTTCTTTGATGCATGTAGTTTCTATCAATTAAATATAAAGGATGAGACTTAGCACCAACTTATTAAATTACTGCAAATTCTTTGTTTTCTTAAAAATTACAGTTCTTTCTGTTTGTATATATTTGTAGTAGTGATATGAGATCTAGGGATGTGTATATATAAAGAGATAGATACATAGATACAAATATACATAGATGTGAAATTTATACTTTGAAAACTTAGCTTATGACACAGAAAGAAATTTTTTAAAGTATGACTCAAATTCTAATATGCTTAGTTAGACCTGAAAGGAGTATCTTTTTATCATTTTTTAAAATTTACATCAAGCCAATACAGTGCTGAGGTGTATCTGGATAACCAGATCCTCGAAAAGCAGCTCAGAAAGTTAATTTTCTAGCTTTTACCCAATCTCACTGAAGGATTTAATTGATATTTTTAATGGAGCTGTGAATCAATGCTGCAAAGAAATTGTCTCTAGAGGTCTAGGATATAATGCATTTCATTTTTTAATTTACTTTTTTATTTGTCATTTTCTTCAAAGGATTTTTATAGGCTGCGGGTTTTCACTGTTTGCAAACAGGCTATGTTCCTTCTTAAGCATATGTAAAGTATTCAGGGAGATAAGTAATTTATTAAAATCTACCTAATTTGCCGTGATATATTAAATCTCTGCTTCAGTGATCACAGACCATTTCATTTAGAGAATTAGGCATTCCCTCTTTGTGTGATTAAAGCTCTGGAAAATGAGTTCTTTGCTCCTATTTGTGAACATTCAAAGCCTGCTAATGGCAAGAAGATGGAATAGATTATGAGACAATTCATTACAGTTGAACAGAAAAAAAAAAGCAGCTATAATGCAAAAATGCAAGTATGAATATCTGCATATAGTTTGAACCATCTGTGCTCTAATGGCTTCAATAATGACTCTCGTCTTTGGGAGGCTTTGAAATGACATCCGTACAATATTAATTTGTTGATGTACATTGTGGGACCAGTAGAGTATGATCTGACCACAGAAATCTATAAATTCTGTCTGTACCATTGGGCCTCTCTGTCCTGGGGCCTGCCATCTCCAAGAATAATCTTGCTCTCATCAAATTCTGCAAATCTTCATAACAACTCATTCCTCTGGAACCTTCTAGAGACCACAAACATCTGCAGACTAAACCTCTCCAATCCTAGTAAACAACCACATGTTTGTTGTCACTTCAGCTGGCTCTGAGCTCATCTTTTTGGCCTCTCTTTCTAGCTTTCTTTGGCTTTATGCAGTTACAGTGTCCTTAAGGCCCGTAATATTCCCTGCAGTAATTTAAAACAGCCAGATTATACCCTGGGATTAACTGAGTGGTTTTTGAGACATTTATTGTGGTATTCTCCCAGGAGGTTTGTATTATTGTTTTAAAACGTTACATCCCAAACTAAATACTCCTGCAGGGAGAAGAACCATATTACACTGACTTCTTAGAGTCTTTGAGTGGAGAGGAGAAGTTTTTATTAGAAAACTTCTGGGATCCAGTCACCTGTGTGGCATGTATACGTCAGATAATATTGGAGAAACAGCCATGTTTCTGTCACATTGATGTTTACTATAATATATATTAAAGATTATATTATAGTTTTCTAGTTTTAAAATAGCTTCAAACTATTGAAAATTTTCACAGCACTCATTTGCATACATAATTGCTGCTAACACATCTTGAACTGGGTAAGTAGTGTTGAATGCTATCATATGAATACTTCAATTGGGTTTCATAATCTGTCCAAGGATATTTGTTCTTTTTGTCTTGTGTTAACCAGAGTTCACTGAAAAGTTCACCACCTTTTGGATTGACGAGCCATGATTTTCTCTCCGTGAGCCAAGCTTGATCCATCAAGTACGGCTTGGAGCCAGGGGCCACAGATACACCAGTTTAAGGTGATCTAGTGTGGATTTACAGCTCTTAGTGTAACTGTCCACAGTATACTCAGCACTTTTTTGGGCTATAGTGCTTTTAGTTTGGAAATATAAATAGAGATGTGATGTGGTGTGTGGGAGAGTGTATTTTGCATGTTTTTTTGCCTACTGTAGTAGAAATGTCAAATTCCCAGCCACTGTCATGAGAAGCAGTTGACAAAAATAAGTTTTATGGTTTACAGTGTGGTTTACGTAGAGAACATTTTTCTTCACTCTCAGTTTCAACATGTTTTCTAAATTATCATGGTTTATTGCCATTTAACTGAAATTAGTTTTTTTTGAGAATAAATAGAGAATATGTTTAATCAAATAAAGAAAGACCACATTGAAAATCTGCTGTTGCTGCCATTCATTCGTTACCACAAAACACAAATAATTTCTGTGTGTTATGAAGAAGTGTGGGCTGAGAAGTGGTCATGTGATTTGGGAGGTTTTGCATGCACCCATGTTCCCACAACAAAACATAAATTATTTTAGTAATCTGACATCAAGAGCAGTGACAATGAAAACCAGTTCTTACACATGTTCTAACAAGAATCTGATTAACATTTTTGTGGATATGGAAAATAATTTTTTTTAGTCAAACTGGCACTGTTGCTGAATTTAGAATGATTTCCTTATGCACTAGATAGAAAGATGTGAATTATGTCTGTGAACAAATATGAGAATAAAATGTCATCTTTGTGTAGTACAAAACAACCAAGGGAGAGCTTTTGGGATATAAAACTATCCAGTGATTGACAATATCAGGATGATAATTCATCGCCAACGATGAGAATACATTTTAATAAGTCACTCATGCCTGAAGGCCTCTGACTACCTTAACAAAGAAAAACTAAACCCGTGATTTATTATAGATTGGGCAACGTGCCTAATTAAATCCATGAATGGGAGCAAACACAGTTTTGTATCCCCTTTGTTCAGAACAAAAACAACCTCCAGGTCAACCAAAAAGCTAAAAAATATCAAAGCAGTAGAAATAAGTGTTTTAAAAACTAAAAATATGAAATCAGAAAACATCTCCTCATCTTAACCTCTTTTATCTTGCAAGATAGAATTTTCACTTCCATTTCAAAGTGCCACCAGTGGACTGCACCTTATATTCTGACTCCCTGGAAAATTGGGCCCATGTTACTGGTATTGTTATATATAACAATACCTTTTGTTCTTGCCCTTTCATTTTCCATATGACATTCACTAATATATCAAGTCATGTTTCTCCTTCAGAGTTTCTAAAGTAAATGTGGTACTCTTAGAGATATATCATGACCTCTTTTCTGAGGTAGATGCCTTTAGACTTTTCTTTTGCTTTTTGTCCCTTCTCATTCTACTGAGATTCACCTTTCTCATCCCTGTAACAGCATTACCTCTCTCTTCACTGAATGACATTTGTTTCCTTTTTAAATAAAATTTAGCATCATGATTTTTATATTCCTATCATCTAATCTGTTCACACCTATATTCAAACATCTCCTCCCATCTATCTATCCTTCTACTTATTTTTAGTTGGTCAAAGCACATTTTTTTCCTTCCTCTTTACTATTTCTTTTCTTGGTGCCACAGCTACTTCTTTAGATACCAGCATCTGTGACAGCTCCAGTCGCCTTCCCAAAACATTCCTTTGTGCTAAAGACTCATCTTAATTTAACATGACAGGGACACTCTTAGCTGAAGAAACAGCAAGCTAATTTTTGTATCTTTGCTTCTTGTAGCTTTTTACAGTGAAATAACAGAGGCTGGAACTCAGAAAGCTCTCAGGAATCACTGGTAAGGAGCCGAAACATAAGGAAGTTTTTTAAAAAATTTGAGGAAATATGTCATTAAAATCAGGCTTTATTTAGCGCAACTGTGTTTTGTCATAGTTACACATGTCATCATTAACAACAGGAAAAACGAGAGATTTTAGAAGAAAAGGTAAGAGACCATACGTACAATGTAGAGGTGGGGAAGACTTTTCCAACAAAGAGGAGAGACAGAAGCTATAAAACAAAAGACAGACATACTGAGTATGTAAGGCAGGGTAAGTTTTAATATCAGACAAAATAGTGTTCAAGGTCAAAAACAAGGGATGAGGAAGGACTTTTTTTTACTGTTAAAGGAAACAAGAAGTCAAAGATATATGAACTTAAACATATATACACCAAACAGTATAGCCACAAAATACATGAAGCAACAGCTGACAGAACTATGGAAAAATACTGTGGCTACACCAATTTTAGGAATAGGTTTTAACTCTCAGAGAGTGATAGATCAAAAAACTTAGAAAAAGTCTAGAAGATTTGCTTAACATGATTACTAAACTCAAATGAATATAGAATGCACATGGAACATTCAAAGAAAAAACAACTGTGTATTCAGCCACAAAGAAAGTCTCAATTTCCAAAGAATTGAAATCTTACGGACTATGTTTCTCTAAGCAAAATACAATTAAACTACAAATAAATAGTAAAAGGATAGCTAAAACAGTCCTATCTAAAAGTTT